GAAGGAACTAAGTACGGATCAAAAGTATCTGTATGAAATGTGTCATGCTGTGACGACTGGTTCTTGTTCCCCTGAGTTAGCGAGCCGCCAACCTGGAAAAATGGCGCATTCAAGATGGCTAACTACAGCCAATCGCATACTCAGACTTTATGTAAGTACTGTTTCGCCATCAAATAATTTAAAGCTGCTTGTCAATTATGTGGTCAAAGTTCATGCTCCAGTTTGGTTCCTCATTAAGAAAAACTCATCATTCAAAGATGGAGCCAATCATATTTTTCAAATGGTTACATACTCCCGATTTTTGCCTGATAAGCAAAGATCTATTGTGAATTCAGTGATCGAGAGAAACGCTTTTTTTGCTCACCCTGAAAACTTACTTGTTAGAATGCTATTCGACGACAGAGAGCATATTCGAGAGCTTGCAGCTCGCAAAATATTAAAGGCAAGAGAAGCAGAAATAAGCAATACTCGCAGGGTATTTAAAATACCAAAACTTAACTTCGATGCGCGATATTACATCGATTTGATATTTTGGCAAGAGTGTGAGATATCCGCTCCACCGATTTTGCGACAGATGTCCGACGACGAACTGAGAATTAAGGCTAAAGAACAAAGCTTCGATGTTATTGATTTCCCCTGTCAAACACAATCAGTGGAAAGATGTGTAAAGCTAGTGACGGAGGCTTCTCTAAGTGTCACGGACGCTACAGCTCGGGATGGTTTAATCAGAAACAGATTAAAATCTCGCGCGGAAATGCCTAATTTTGGCCACAAGAACCAATTTCGTATTTGAAATAAGCACTAATTAGAAGTATTTAAACTTTACTGAACATTACCTTATGTCTTTGTAGTACCTATAAATTTGATTAAAACCTTTAAAACATTATTTTTGTATCATTTATAGTTTATGTTCGAAACCTCTAAAAATGGCAAATTTGAAAAACTTCTAGGATCGGTAGAGGCCTAAAGATGACAAATATTCAATTAAATTTTGTTATATTTGTAATCTATTCACAAAAACGCAACTTTTGATACCTCCCGCGTAGCCGTCGCTTTAAAAAAAAAAATCCCATACATTGACGGGACACCCTACCGGACACAGCTGACCTGTTTGCTCGGGTCGGTTTAGGCGGTTAACTGTATTTTTTATGTTGAGCACCCTATTTGATTAAACACACAGTTGAACCGTTATTATCAGATCCCTGGTATTTCTTATAGTATTCATCATTCCTCTTATAGTCAAAACCTTGTCTTCTACAAGTACGTGCAGAAGAAGGGCCCTCCTTGAAAAGTACTCCTTTTCAAAGACGTTTCGAATTACATGACGCGACACAGTCCACTTTCCCACCCAGACTACCCCCTCACTACTTCACTCTGCCTAGGGTCATATAAAGAGGAGCAATCTGAAGTGTTCTCCACCTACCACGGCAGCAATCGGTTCTCTGTGAGGCCGTGATTATGACTCCGGTCGAGCCCGCTCATTTGTGAAGTAGCATGACTTTCCCGTGGTATATTGCAACATTGCAAACTAAGTAAAAGTAAATTTATGACACTAAAACCATACATTTAGACAACTGAACTGTTTGATGAGATAATACATATTATGAACTTTTTTTGTTTTGACGGGGTGAAAAATCCCTTCGGATCTGCTGCTCCTCGGTGACTCAGGAGCCAGGAGTGTGTGGTCACATCACATCACATCAACAGCCTTTAACAGTCCACTGCTGAACATAGGCCTCTCCTTAGAAAGAAGGTTTTGGCCTACTATACCACGATGGCCAGACGGGTTGGTATAGGGTTTGTGACAAGTTTTCCTTCTCTCTGCAGTGATGTTGTCCTGCGGGGTTTGTGGAGTATGTGGTGATTCCACTAAAAACCACCCCGAGGGCAGGCCTCAGATGCCCTACTCTGGGAGGACCTGGACCATATATATTAGGTACTTATACTTTCACGACTTCTGTCTGACGAATCTGGGGCACATTATATTTCCTACTGATTTACTTACTTCCTAATGTATTCGGTTTTGTACATTTTTTTTCAATTTTGCCTTAAACAAACACAAACTGTTTTTAAACGACTTCAAATAAAGGAGGAGGCTGCAATTCCGTTTCAATTCAATTTGTTTCTTTTTATGTTAGAAAATAATCAACGGAGTTCTTAGAATTATTTTCACGAAGAAACGTAGGGGAGAGTAACCAATTTTGAAGCGGCGCTTAAATTGTATTTCTACCAAAATGACGCTATTTGGTATAGTATATTGGTACAAAAAGGAGCGCTACAAAATGGCGGAGTATTAGTGGTGCTACTAGCGCTCCTTTTTGTGTTGCTAGTGTAAAAAACTGGTGCCATTTTGGTAGAAATAGAGAAGTGGTCCAATTTAAGCGCTAGTTCAATATTGGTTACGTTCTCCTATATGGTGTCCTGTTTCGTATCTGTGAAAACGTGTTTTACAAAACACTGGTGACGAATCGGTGAAGTATTTTAGGCATATAACAGTAACAAGCAAACAAACTCACATGTGCATTTTTAACTGACTTCAAAAAGGAATAGCTCTTGTGTTCCACTGTATGTATTTTTAGTAATATTTAAAATATGTCAGTTTGCTAATTATTTGGTTCGGTGTTAGCTGCAATGTGAGGTTTGCGGCGAAGGCTGCAGGTTCGATTCCTACTCATCATAAATACTTATATGTAAATATTTAGTTCTAGAACTTATTTTTAAACAACCTAATACCTTAATTCGAACCCGCGACCTCTACCTTCTAACCACTCCAAAGCCAGTTGTATAAAGGTATAAATAGACAACACCTGCTTAGTGGCCTACAACCAGCTGTCGTTTCTTATGTATGTGTGTCGCGTTCAACGTTCGATGCGCGGTGAGAACAAATTTATTTAATGAGGTATTTGGTTTATCATGATACTAGTTACTGCTGTGGGTTTGCTTATATTTAAATTTTCTGATATTTAATTGACAGGTCTGTTGGTTTAGTGGTTAATGACCCTGACTGCTAAGCCGGAGGTAGTGGGTTCGATTCGGTGTAATTTATCTCTGATATGTGTGTATTTCGGTAGGTCCGTATGGTGACGGATTAAGAATACAGAGTGTCACCACCCCTATTCATCCCGCGGGTGTCGTAAGAGCCGACTAAGGAAAAAAACTACGCAGGTCAACAGCACTGCAGAGAGAAGGAAAACTTGACATAAACCCTATACCAACCCGTCTGGCCAGCGTGGTATAGTAGGCCAAAACCTCCTTTCTCAGGAGAGGCTTATGTCCAGCAGTGGACTATTAAAGGCTGTTGATGATGATGATGATGTGTGTATTTAGTAACATAGAGTATGTATGTTAGCAGTCTGGTTACCATTGTACAGGCTATGCCTAGTTTGGAATCTGATGGCCCTGTATGATGTGTAAAAAAAAAGAATTTATTGGGGACAGAATGGACTTCAAAAATACTAATGGTTTTAAATAGGTATATTCTTTGTCCTGTCTGGATACGGTTACAATCCCATAAAGGGTTAGTCGGGCAGGTTGTTGGTCATAAAATAAACCAAAAACGTTTGAAATGTTACGCTGACTATAAATAAAATTGGGACAGAAGTAGAAGAGTGATGACAATACTGTTTAATGGGCACGACATGTTTCGGCTCAAATCGGCGGGAAACCGGTGTTAAACAGTTCTCGCGTTGCCTTTCACTCCATGAGTTGCCCAAACCTCCCTTCAGCAAGATTCTTCTGGGCAGGTTAAAAAGGAAGCAACACTTGTGACTCCTGTGTTACAATTGTTCATGGGCGGCGGTAGTCACTTACTGTTTTTCCTGTGCGGAAATCACCTCGGATAACACCGAGGTGGGTTGATTATGTCGGACTCGAACCGACCAAAAACCGCACGCCGTCTCTGAAAGTGCACTATTTGCCACCTATGCCATAAAAAAACACAATCAAACAGACAGACAAGGATTGTATATCCAATAAAAAGAAAAAGGATTTTAGTGTGTTAATTAATCAATAAAAACTGACACTTAATATATTAATGGCTATTAAAGTAAACTCATTCAATGCCAGATAATATAATAGAGAAAACTAAAAACAAAAAAACTGAAATCGACTTGTTTGACAAGTTTACAATAACTAGAGAAAATTATTTTATGGTTATAAAGACTATTATTGTAGAAATTAAATGACAAAACTTTATAACTAAAAGTTATTAATTACAATACAAATTCTCATCATCATTATCCACAGGCAGCCTTTAATAGTCTACTGCTGGACATTGGCCTCTCCTTAGAAAGGAAGTTTTGGGCTAAACGTTGGCCAGACAGGTTGGTATAAGGTTTATGGTAAGTTTTAATTATGTTTGCAGTGTCGATGTCCTACGTAGTTTGCTCCCTTAGTCGGCTTAGTCGGCATTAAAGTCAATCAAAATTATTTTTATCAAAGTATACGACTTTTTTTTAATTTAGACCTTTTGCGAGTTTTGCGCCAGCGTAATAATAATAATTAAGTAGCAATGGTTTTGTAAATCAGTCACAGTTGTGATCATATGATTTATCACATGCGGTTGTGATTTTATGCCATCACTATCTTCGGTAACATCAGACAGTCAGTGAAAAGCGAAACATAACAGCTTAACACCTGTTTTCTATGAGGCCGTGGTATCACCCCGGTAGAGCCTGCCCATTTGTGCCATGGTTAAATTAAATTATCATTTGTTAAAATTGGCAATAATATATAAAAAAAAATCTATTAAAATTTATATTTTCATTCGTACATTTTTCCACAAATTCGTTAATATTCATGGAGTACAATACTCATAAGTATTCATATCATTCCCACCTCTGAAAAACTTTCAGCTTAATCTGTCAAATTTAAATTAAATTTGTCAATTTTAGAAAACAATAACTGTCCTAAAGTTCGCGTTTTACGTCATTCAGTGTATAACACAGAAATATAACCGCACACACCATGGGGTGTATCAATTATTTCATAAATTCCTTCTTTCATACCTTTTGTGGTTCTTCCTTATGTTTCTTCTTCAACTCAATAATAAGTCTCGCCAAGTTGACAGCTAATCCAATAACCGCCAAAATGAAGAATTTCACCTGAAATGGATAATCGTACATGAATGCTGTCTGCTTACCTTCTGTGGTTTTGCGCTATGTTTATTCTTAATGTCTATCCAGAGCCTGGCTATGTTCACTGCTAAGCTGAGAAGTGCTACAATGAAGAATTTCACCTGAAAAATGCATTTTTTTATTGCGTTTTGTTAAAGGGCTCGAAATTCCCAATGGCAGCTTGGTTAAGTTGCAGAATCTTAATTTGCTCGAGCATTAGCCTATAAACCTAAGTCCTAATAATCATTCCTATGCTACCTTTCAATAGAACTATTTATCTATAATGTACTCTCTAAAACTATTATTATTTATTGAAATCTTAATAATTTTTAATCGACTTCAAAAAGGAGGTTATCAATTCGGATGTTTTTTTTTATGCATGCTCATAACTCCGTCATATATAGACGGATATTCAAAATTCTTTTTTTATAAGAAAGGGGTTTATTCCGAAATGGTCCCATTTAAATTTAATATAGATCTGATGACTAGTTTCGGAGACAGACAAGGGAACTCTTCAAAAAATGACAGCAAATCAACCGCGATTGCTGCTAGGTTTTTAGTGCTTTTTGTTAATATTGTTTAAAGTGGGTTCAACTTAAAAAAAATGGATTTAATATGTAATCTTATTGCTTTGATTCTTTATTTCATGATATTGTAATACTTTGACTTAGTTTAGTGACATCTTTTACTGTTTCGATTATTTGTGACATTAAATTTCAATGGCTGTTTCCGTGTCACTAAATATATGTTACTTTGTAATGTATATAAGGAATTTAAATATATACTAATGCCCTTTGGTCTGTTTACATATCAGATGTAGGATACCATATAAGCGATATAGTTGTGAGACTAATCCCGCCCACAGGCCCACCACTGTAACTCCTGTACTACAGGATCCACAGCAGTGACCCACGAACACACCGAGTTGTGACACTCGGGAAGTCCCAGGAAGAAATTAAACTGTCTTGGAACCCGCAACGAAATTCATCAGAAGAAAATTGGAGGAGTTGGAAATACAGTAAATCCACTTCCCTCCTTAGCAAAGCGGGAGACAAAATGAAGTAAAATAGGCATACACCCTTTTAAACAAAATATTACGGGTCCTAGGTGAGCCGTATTTGATTTCTATAATATGTATGGCAGAATCGCCTAAACACACGGAAATTCACCCTAGTTGACACAAGATCCCCATAGTACACCGCCCCAGATGTCACCTTTTTTTTTTTTTTTTTTTTTTTTTTTTTTTTCCGTGCGGAAATCCCCTCGGATACCACCTGTCGGTGGCATGTCGGAACGAACCCGAACTACGAACCGACTAAAACCGCACGCCTTCGCCGGGTACTAATAGCCGGGGAACCAGGTACCCCAGATGTCACCTGCAAGCTATTCAGCAGTCAGTTGTGAGACTGTGAGCTTATATTGTTACTTAAATAAATAGATAAATAAGAAGACAGTTCAGAAGTCTGAACCAAGGTCTTCAACCCTTCCATACCCAGTACCCCTTCCATGTAAGAATGAACATACTAATCGTCATTCTTATATGGAAGGGGTTAGAAGGGCTACTAAGATGCTAGAAACATTGTTGGTGTGATAAGTAAATTTATGCTTTGGTAATCCCTTCCTATTTGGTAGATTTTATGCTGTGTGTGTGGATAGTAATAATAATAATACTAATAACACTAGCAACACTTACCTACATCAGTCGGAATTTCTTCACATTTTCGAATTAAAACAAGTTTTCTATACATTTACAATCCCGTACAATCATTAAAAGCTATTAAACTGTATTTAAATGGATCCTTTTTATGAAAATATAACACAAAACCGTTTTAAATAAATAATATATATAGATATATGTTGATAGTAAGACATGACGTTTAACGTCATGTCAAAATACAAAAAATATTGAAAATGAAAGAAATTAGAAATTCGACTAGAAAATGTTAACCCGAGCTAGATCCAGAGCACTGACAACATCCCCGGACTCGTCGCTCCGCTCCGTCTTGCCGTCCCCGGAAGCTACAACAGAAGTTCCGGCCGTGGCTGAGGCGTCGAGCTCAACTTCAAGCGACGAGTTTTTCTCTCCGCCGACGTCGCCAACACCTGTACGTCGGCAGGGGAGAGGCCGGCCACCGACCAGCTTGGGATCCCGAGGACTACTGACCTCGAACAGGGTCCCCGCTACCGGTGGTGATGTGCGCCGCATGAAGTGGACAAAGTCTATTAATGAAAATGTCATGCGGGCATATTATCGGGCTACAGAGGTGGGAACGAACCTTACTGCGTACCGTGTTCGACTAGTCTCTTTGTTTCAGGAGCTTGAACCAGCTGTCAACGTATCAGCACAACGATTGTCGGATCAAGTACGAGCTATACAGCGCTGTCATCTGCTGGATGATGCAGTACTTGAGAGGATACGCTCTGACATACGGAATAGCTTAATTATCCCTTCTTCGTCACACACTGTGGATTCGGTAGCCAACAGCACACCTCAGTTGGCATCATATACTGATGATATTGATGAACTAGTGGAGAGTGAAGTTATATCCGTAAGTACCCAATACAATGATAGGATAAGGAGTGCTTTGGAGGATGCGATTCTGGAATACCGATATTTAAATTGCAATGATAGGCCCCGGTTATTCCGTTTGCCCATTCATAAACGAAATTTAGCGCTGGTGGGTGCCCTGGATTCGTTATTGCCTGAATATTTAGATAATAGCGAAGATCTTAGTGATACACATTCTATTCTATATTGTGCGGCTATTGCAGCTTGTCGAGTAGCTGGTGTTAAAATAGCTAACAATGTCACTACTACTCGACCGAAATCTACTGTACCAGCTTGGCAGTATAGAATTGAACGTCGTATTACTGAGACCAGGACACTCATCGGTAAGCTTATTAGCTACCGATCAGGGAATATGCGGCCGAGAGTGATGCGCTTTGTGAAACAGGCATTCTTGGGGACTACCATTAGTCCTCAGCAGTACATGTCATGTGTCACAGAGCGCATAGACTTTCTAAAGCAGAAAATTTATGCATGGGCAAATAGGATAAGACGGTATAAAAAACGAATAGATCGGTATAATCAGAATCGGATGTTCCAAAGAAATGAGAAGTGGGTGTACCGGAAATGGGAGGAACCGGATCCATGTGTGGGTGATAGGCATTTGCCAGATGAAAATGTCACAAATACATTTTGGCGTAACATCTGGTCGGTGCCTGTCACTCATATAGAAGGTGATTGGTTGCAGGATGTCAGACGCTCATGTGAGTCTATAACACCTATGGAACCTGTTAAAATTGATAAAGATGATGTAAGTTGTGCAGTTCGTTCATTACCGAATTGGAAATCACCTGGTCCAGACGGACTGCACAACTTTTGGCTTAAGTGGTTCCGAAGCTCACATGCGCGTTTGGCATCTCAATTCCAGGCAGCTTTGGATTCGGGTTCATTACCCCAATTTTTAACCACTGGCATAACCCACTTACTCTATAAGTCTGGTAGTGTCATGGATCCCAAAAATTTTCGACCTATTACATGTTTACCTACCATGTATAAACTTCTAACATCTATTCTGAGACTCAAAATTACTTTACATATTAATAATAATTCGATTATGTCAGTTTCTCAGAATGGATGTAGAAGTGGGACCCGTGGCACTAAAGACCTCCTTATCATAGACATGACCATTAGCCAACAGGTACGTTGTAATCGTAAGAGTTTGGCGACGTGTTGGATAGATTATAAGAAGGCTTATGACTCGGTTCCACACACATGGCTTTTGAAGGTGCTGGAGTTGTATAAAATTGATACAACTCTGTGCACTTTCTTGAAGTCATGTATGGGGCAATGGAGAACGGCACTTCGCCATCCAGGATGTCGGCAGACAGCGATACACGATGTACTAATAAAGATCGAGCGGGGTATATTTCAAGGTGATAGTCTGAGTCCCTTGTGGTTTTGTCTGGCTTTGAACCCTCTTAGCACTTTATTAGAGGGTTCAGGGTTAGGCTATAGGTTGCAGAAAGATGATCAAGTTATATCTCACCTTCTTTATATGGATGATTTGAAACTGTTAGCCTCCAACAAATTACAATTGACAAAGTTACTAAAGGTGACGGAAAACTTTAGTAATTCTATCAAAATGGAATTTGGTGTAGACAAGTGTGCAGTCATGTATGTAAAGAAGGGTGTGATAGTTGAATCTGAAGGAATAGAGCTTTTGGATTCAACAAAACTCAGATCTCTGTCTGCCACTGAAACTTACAAGTATCTGGGTATATCACAGTCGTTGGGAATACCAGAATCTAACATGAAACAAACATTGCAGGAACGCTTTTTTGGCCGCTTGAAAAAAGTACTTAAAAGTCTTTTATCAGGGGCAACAAGGTGCGAGCCTGCAATGGTTGGGTCATGCCGGTTCTAATGTATTCCTTTGGTATACTTAGATGGACTCAGACCGAATTAGATGCCCTTGACAGGAAAGTCCGCACACTGCTGACTGCATCCCGAATGCACCACCCACGTTCATCAGTTATGAGATTGTATATCCCGCGAAAGCTTGGGGGTCGCGGTCTATTAAATATCAAGACCCTACATAATCGCGAGGTATGCAATCTCAGAGAATATTTTCTACATACCGACGTGGGAGTGCATCGCAATGTAGTTGCAGTGGATACCGGCTTCACCCCGCTCGCTCTGGCTAAAGAGAATTGGCGCAGACCTGTAGTACTTGGTGTTAATGATCGCAGGGAAGTATGGAAGGGCAAAGAGCTCCATGGTCGGTTTTATCGGGCCCTAAACGGGTCTGATATAGATTTAAAAGCATCTACGACTTGGCTACGGCATGGTGATCTCTTTGGAGAAACTGAAGGTTTTGTTTGTGCGATTATGGACGAAGTTATCATGACGAATAACTATCGGAAATATATCCTGAAAGATGGTACGGTTGACATCTGTCGGGCATGCCACCGTCCTGGCGAATCAATCAGGCATATTATTTCTGGTTGTTCTCGTCTTGCTAACGGAGAATATTTGCACAGGCACAACCAAGTGGCCAGGATCGTACACCAACAGCTTGCCCTTAAATACCATCTTGTGAATCTAGAGGTGCCATACTATAGGTATGTGCCCGACCCAGTTCTCGAGAATGGTCGGGCCACGTTGTATTGGGATCGATCTATTATCACAGACAGGACTATTGTTGCCAATAAGCCTGATATTGTGTTGATAGATCGATTAGAGCGCCGCGCAATGATTGTTGATATCGCCGTTCCTCATGACGAGAATCTCGTGAAAGTTGAAAAAGAAAAACAAATTAAATATTTGGATTTATCTCACGAGATTGTCGATATGTGGAATGTTGATTCATTGATCATTGTTCCGATAGTCGTATCTGCTCATGGATTGATAGCCAAGAGCCTCGACCAACACCTTAAGAGGCTCACGTTGGATGGCTGGATCAAGGGTCTGATGCAGAAGGCAGTCCTCCTTGACACGGCTCGTATAGTGAGGAGGTTCCTATCTTTGGAGTCCTAACCACCGGTGTCTTGGTCCCTGTACCCGATGTCGGTGGTCTACTATTTTTTATATTTTTAAATGTATTTTTTTTATAAAGTGTATATTTAAAAATGTAAATAATATGTATATAAAGTAAATAAAGAGAATAATAATAAATTTCTTTATAGGCACAATATACAAGTAGGTACATAGTAGTAGGATTCTCAGTAGAGGATTCTCACAAAAAATCTTAATTATAGTGTTCTGCTGGTACTTAAAATAGGATATCCTGTGCTATAAGTACCAGTAATAAAGTGGCAAACAATTTAATGATTTGCCTAATGGAATTGTACATACTTTTAGAATAAAAATTGTCGTTACAAAGTGTGCAGACTCTGCTTGTAACATTTACTGCTCTTTTTTAGGACTCGTCACGTTTTGGTTGCGGAAATGTATTTCCTTCTCAAGGTTTGCCAAGATCTCGACTAACAAGTAAGTGGACAGGACAAAGCTCTATAAGTAGGTGTATACTAGTGTATACTACGGGTCTGTAAGTAGATGATCGCTTACCATTAAGGGGTAGTATTTGTTTATCACTAAGAACGTTTTTTTTAAATAGTTACCTGTAATTTGTATGTCAGGATCTGAAGCAAAGTGGCGATTTTAGCCTTTATCACGGCACCAAGAATGAGCAGCTTTAGGATAGCCTTCTTTTTCTTCTTCTTTTTGCCTCTTTGTTCTAGAAGTATTAAGAAGAATTTTACATATAATATTCAAGGACTTTGTAAAATAACTTGAGTCACCTTACACCCGACAATTAAAAAAAAAATTAGGCAGGTTTATTGTAACCTATCGACCCATGGCCGGAACGAAGAACGAAGTCTGCTTTAAAATTAGTGTCGGCGAAAATTTTTGTTACACATTTTTCGGTCTCGCTACTAAGGAAGTACTTTCCAAAAACATTATAAATCAATTACATCCAGACACAAAACAAAAGATTGTGCTCATCACCCAATTATTTGTCCTAGGTGGGAATTGAACCCACGATCGCCGGCGCCGCAGTCAGGGTCACTAACCACTAGTCCAAGATCCTGTCATTTGTTGACCTATTATTAGTACACACTTTAAGCTCAGTTTATGCAAGTGCAGTTCCATGCTGATCAACTCAACCGTTTTATGCTTGAAAATCGTGTGATGCATGCGTCGCATAAAGACTGCAGAGAAAACACAACGCACGCGTCACTTTGTGGCTGCGTCTGCGCTGTATATATGTATATATGTTTATCTTACGTTTACACTTGAGAAACGGTACTGTGATGAGAGCTTTAGTTGTATAGAGAAAATGGCGGTCGAATTTCGACCTAATGCTTACTACTGGTGGAATTAATTACGTATGCATGCTTTTAACGCTTATCTTTGTGTGATCATCACAAAGTTAAGTATAGTTATTTTATAAATACATTCCTTTTGTATCTAAAAATAAGTAAAATACAAATAAAATGTAATAATCATGCTGGATACGGAAATGCCGCAAACATTCATGCTATTAGGGTCTGAACGTGTATTTGAGGTACTTTTTTTTGTTTAAAAGACATCACCCGCATTAGGAATATATTCCTGTGTCGCGGGGGACTTTACAAACATACATGAAATGGACACAAAGAACATCCAGACTCAGAACAACAATTTGTGGATCACACAAAGTATCGTCCCATGTGGGGTTTGAATCCACAACACTCGGCGTAGTAGGAAGTGGCGTGGCGACCACTTAAACCACTACGCTATCCGTGCAGTCCTACGCCATCCGTGGAGTCAGAGTCAGAGTGGAGCAGTCAGTCCGTGCTTTAGACAACTCTTAATAACTCAACTCTCTATAAAATGATTTTAAAATCTTAATTACGCTTATAATCTTAATTACATGCTAAAACATTATAAATATCCATGCTAACGTGCTTAATTTATGACAAAGAAGATCAACAAACTACACTTTTAAGAGGCATATTACATTAAACGGCTAAAATCTGCTAGTTTAGTCATAAAGAACATTGGATTATAAATTCCACTATCGCAAGGTTTAATACAATTAATTCCACTAACAGGAACTACCATGAAAGATGACCTTTCAAAGACAATAAGCCAAAAAACCACGGCTTAGAAAGACACTTTTTAAAATCTCACGCCTTCATCGATTCTGATGGAAATTAACAAACACGTAACCTGGGATTAACTTTCATTTACAAACAAGCTGATTTATAATTTATAGCCATAAAGGTTTTGGCTCCGGTGATGACACTCGGTGGAAGGCGAGAAAAGAACAGCTTAACACCGGTTTTCTGCGAGGCCGTTGTATAACTCCGGTTGAGCCTGACCCATTATGGCCGATGCATGCCTCTCCCATCCTAGATTAGCGGTATCAATTACCCCAACTTCCTTTTTTTTTATTAAATAGGGATTTGGGTCACCTGATGGAAAGCAACTACCGCCGACTGGAAAGCGATCTACTAAACTTATATCTTCCTAGTACACACATCAACAAGCTCATGAGTTTAATAATAATAATAACCACATACATCTCACACAAGGCTGTCTGATCCCAAACTAGACAGAGTCTGTGATATGGTAATCAGACTACTGATAAACATACTTATTTATTTCACCCAGATTAAATACGAGTAACACCCACACACAGAACAAATGATCCTCTCATCACACATATCACACAATCATTTGGCTAGGGTGGAAATCGAACCCACGACCTATAGCCAGGCAGGCCAGTCAAAACGGATAAAAAAATGGTGATGATCATGGAATCTTGCGCAAGTGGATTTATCTTTGACCAGATTTATTTTAAATTGAGTTCAACATAGATAATAAATCTGCCGTTTCTGTAATAAGCCTCAAACATGACGTGCCTTCAAAAATGCAAAATAATTTATGGTGTAAGTTTACCAGAATGAACACACTTGAATTTGCTAATCTGTAATATAATAAAATATGTTATTTTTTTTTATGCTCTAGAATGTATCACTAGGAAGCCAACAAGCAATTGTCCAATATGCCCTCAATCAGATGGACGTCAAGAAGGAGGTTTTCAGTTCCACTGATATTTATTATACCAACCAGTCTGGCCAGCGTGGTATAGTAGGCCAAAATCTCCTTTCTAAGGAGAGGCCTATGTCCAGCAGTGGACTGTTATAGGCTGTTGATGATGCTGATGAAGCCTGATAACACTTTTTAAGGTAATACCTAACTCCTGAGCCTGAATTTTTCCGAGTTGTTTTATTTTTACAACCATTGAGTTGTTTTATTGAGTGGATTTTCTAAAAAGGAAAAATGCCCAGTGCATTTTTAGTGCAATAGCTGTTTTAGTCGTACAGAGCTGATCTTCGATGATAGTTATGCCATACCTAAAGGCCTTGCTGATCGAATCTATGTATACAATATATTGTTCCTTTAGCCAGTAAACTTTCACATTTGAGTTATTGAAGGAATTGCCAGGGGCGCAGTGATTTTAGTGATGATAATACAAGGTATATGGACCACAGAACATATTCTCTATTCTCTGATATCCATAATGTATGTTATTAATTTAAAAAAAATAAGATACAGGTTCTACTTCCTTTATTCTATTTATTGTGGCGTTTCTGGTATTTCAGTCCAGTCCAGAAACGGATTAGAAATTTAGGTAGGTATTCATGTTAAAATATATCTTTAATACTAGGCAAACACCAGACCGGTATAACTTCAATTATCATTGTATATATTGGTGTGATACTATTGTTTTGATATAATTTAACTTTATATTACATATTTTTATTTAATTTTTTAACAATTATACAACGCCATCTAGTCCCAAATTAAGCAGAGCTTGCAGTATGGCTACTAGACAATTGATATAAATCATATATACTTCTTTTTTTATTTTAATCAAACATTAAATTTTCATGCACACAAATGTTTGACTTGAGCGGGAAATGAACCCGTGACCTTTGAAATAACAGTCCGTTACACAAACCACTACGCCATCCGGTCGTCATTTTAGCTTTTTCTTCTACATATAAACGTGAAATTTTCCAAATATGATTTGTTTCCGTTGTTTAAACGAACCTACAAATAATATTCTTCAATTCAGATACTTTTTGGCAGTTAATTTGCATTGTAATTAAACCAATTTCTAAACTGAATATCGTTTTGATTATTCTAGAACAACAGTTCGGTAATTTAACGTGTGAACAAGAAATGATAATTCGTTATGGTATTAAAATTATTCGCCTCTCGAATCTCTGAAGCTTTCTAATGCGCACCCACTTACCTTGATATTTAACCACTGAAAAAATTGAAAATTATCTCAAACACGGTCCCTATGGTGGCCAGACTGATGATGAACATACTTATATCTTTCTAAATACCTACATGTTATAGATAAATTACACCCAGACTGTAGAAATGATAATGCAATACACGATTATTTGACCTGGGTGGGTTTCGAACGGAGTCGAACCTCAGGGTTAGCAGTCAGGATTAGAACAACAGGAAAGTCAATATGAGTATACTTATTAATAAATCTCAAGGTAATACTCATAAAAGTGACAAAAATGAGGCGAACTTGACTCATTTAGTGTAATTTTTTGTGAAACAACTAATTTAAATTTTTAATATTAATAACAACACGTTGTTGTTGTAGTAAGAGCCGACTAAGGGAGCAAACAACGACATAACCCCATATCAACCCGTCTGGCCAGCGTGGTATAGTAGCTCATAACCTTATTTCTACGGAGATGCCTATGTACTATTAAAGGCTGTTGATGAACAATACATAAATATATCTGAGATCTCTAAGGAACAGATTATGTTCTAGAAGAGAAAGTGAACTTCGAGAAAGCAGCTATGACGTGATTTTGCAAAAACCGGTGTAACAAGATATCATGACTAATGTGATGTGTTATCGGTTTTTACGGTGTTTGAGATAAAATGCGAATTCACCGTAAAATTATACTTATTTGTGTGAGGAATGTGGTGTTTGGTAAATGGTGTGAACGGCGAAAGCTGTTATGGTGGAAACATACTCTCGCTTTTTTAATCTTGAAATTAGGTGATCAGCTTTTTTAATGTGACCTTTTTGGCACAGTTATTACTACGACTTTACACATCTCACACGTGGTCTGATCTCGAACTACCAGAGCTTGAACTATGGTAACCAGACTGCTGATAAACATTGTTTTTTATGGAAGAGTGAACAAACGAGCAGACGGGTCACTACTGCCGCCCATGAAAGCCTGTAACTCAGAAGGCACAAGTGCTTTGGGGGGCCTTTGAGGAAGGAGTACGCTTTTTTTTTAAGCTTATATATTTCTAAATACATACATATTATAGATAAATTACACCCAGACACAGAACAAATTATCGTGCTCTTCATACAATGTTTGTCTTAGATGGGAACCACGACCTCCGACTAAGCAGTCAGGGTTACCAACCACTTAACCAACAGACTTTTGAAACATTAATACATTAATAATAATCAAGTGTTCAAAATTATGGACTGATTTTACTAAACTCACATACCCAATTAACTCTTCAACCTAACTAAATTAACTCAATATAATATTTATAGATAAAAGGTTACAGTTTCAATCCCAGTGTTGGCTAAAGGGCCCTTTTCACTATCTCTCTCAACTTCTACACTTAGTCAAGCAAGGCTTTAACTTAACTGGAATATAGACCACCAATGACGGTCACCACGTCCTGTCACGTGGACATAATGCTTGTTGGCTACTTTTGTGATGACATAATAGAATTCAATATAAAGAAAATATCTCAAACCATCACCATACCTTCTACGGAACTTCTGTCCTGGATACCATTTTCAAGATTCTCACTCTCCACCACATGCTCAGCGAAGGCATCAAGGGCATTTTGCCCCATAGACCACATATCAGCAGCTACACCCCTGCCAGTGTCTACGGGGATGGAATGGACAGAAGGAGTAGAATTCACAGGCAAGGACCTCTCCCCAATAACCCAGGATTGTACACCATTGCCAAAGTTGCGACCTTTTTCTTCTTTTTGGGCTTTTCTCATGGGAACGTGGATGAGGTGGATCTTAGGGGGTTTCTGTTTCTTCTTCATTTTTTTCTTTTGCCCTCCGCCTGTGGAGATGGTGATGCTGTCAATACCACCGCCGTCCTCGTGCTTCTTGCGTTCGTAGGCTCTGCGGGCAGGATATAATAACATTAACACTTAAAATGGCCAACCATATCATTTTAATTTATGTTTAAGGTACTGTTTTGAATCTAAAAGTGTTTTAGCGCTAAAAATAGCCTCCGTCATAGGCTATTAAATTCAAAAACAATTATTGAAATATGCCTGAGAGTACCTTTGTTTGTTCACCCAGAAAACGTTTCAACTTAATTATCGACTTCAAAACAGATCAGATTTTAAATTCTGTTGTTTTTTAAGTTCGTAACCTCAGAAGACCTGGTCCGTGTGGTGACGGATTAAGAAAACAAATTGTCACCACCCCAATTCATCCCGTGGGTGTCGTAAGAGCCGACTAAGGGAGCAAACTAAGCAGGACAACAGCACTGCAAAGAGAAGGAAAACTTGAAACAAACCCTATACCAACCCGTCTGGCCAGCGTGGTATAGTAGGCCAAAACCTCCTTTCTAAGGAGAGGCCTATGTCCAGCAGTGGACTAGTATAGGCTGTTGATGATGTTGATGAACCTCAGAAATCCGTCATTAATCTACCGTTTGCGATAACTATTATTTTTGGAGGGTATTCTTACCGTTAGTCTCTTTTTTTTATTTTTAAACATTCCTGTAAGTGGCAATTATGGAATGAAGAACACAGTTTTTTCAATATTCTTGAATTCGGTTGATACTTTTTTTAAAGTTAATTATTCAGTCTATGACTATAATTCTCATATGATAGTAAAAACTATTTTACTGACAATACAGCTTCAAGCGCATTACAATACCGGTCTTTAGAAGGTGAAGAGTTTGTTTGTTTAAACGCGCTAATCTCAGGAACTACTCGTTCAAATCGATAAATTATTTTAGTGTTGGATAGCCCATTTATCCAGATAGGTTATAGGACATCACGCTATGACCAATAGGAGCCGGACATCAATGAAAAATGTTGTAAAAACGGGAGAAGTTTACCGGAGACGCAAATAAAATTGCACGTGTCCGCTTACCTAAAATCCAGACCGTGTTTGCTTCTGTATATTTAACAAATTTAATGCCAATAGTCCCAATTTAACAAAACACATCTAGTAAAAAAATTGATTTCTTTCTTATCTAATGATATTTTAAGGAAGAAACGTTATATTTATATTGTACGCACGAAATATTACATCACACATCAACAGCCTTTAACAGTCCACTGCTGGACATAAGACTCTCCTTAGAAAGCAGGTTTTGGCCTACTATACCACGCTGGCCAGACGGGTTGGTATAGGGTTTGTTTCAAGTTTTCCATCTCTCTGCAGTGCTGTTGTTCTGCGTAGTTTTTTCGTTGTTTTGTTTTCTTTTTTTTTAGAGTAATAAAGTATTTCAATGCAGTTAAGAACAAAAAATAGGCTACGTGCGCGTCTCTATGGTCCTTTTCCCTTTTCCTTCTTTTTAAACACAACTCCCGCATTAGAAATATATCCTGGGGACTTTACAAACATACCTACATGAAACGGACACAACGAACACCCAGACTCAGAACAACAATTTGTGGATGACACAAAGTGTCGTCCCATGTGGGGATCGAACCCACAATACTCAGTAGTAAGCGGCGTGGCGACCGCTTAAACTACTACACCGTGCAGTCAAGTCGGTCCTAATTAGGACCCTCAAGTTTTGTGTGTTGGTGGTGTATCTACCTCTTGTATGTAAACAATATCATTGTTTTTACAATGATGAGCATTATTTTAATAACAATTTAAAAACGCTTCATCAGAATGGGCTGTTAAGCAACCCCCCTACCCTTAATTCCAAGGAGAGAACTCACGGGCGGCAGTACACCTTTTCTTTTTTTTTCTTTTTTTTTTCCCGTGCGGAAAACCCCTCGGATACCACCTATCGGTGGCATGTCGGACTCGAACCGACTAAAACCGCACGCCGTCTCGGGTACTAATAGCCAGGGAACCAGGTATACCCTAGAAAGGAAGTCCCTGGTGCCCCGACATACCTCGGGCCATCTACAACAACAGGTAGACGACCCCCCCGTGTGGGAACCCCATGTTCCCTCTGCTCCCTGGAAGCGAGCGCGCTTCGCAACGCGCTCGCCGCCACCCCGGCCTGCTTCTGCTAGGGTGAGAGATAGCCTCACCTGTCACCCCCAGGCCTGCGCTTATGGAGGACGGAGTTCGTTCTGCGACCTAACGGGCGGCAATACACCTGTAGCTTTTAATTGCAGGTGTCCGCAGGCGGCGGTAGTCAATTACCATTCGGTTACCTGTCTGCTTGTTTGCCCCCCCCCTTTCCATGAAAAAAAAAGATGATTATAAAAAAGAATATTAAATTTAAATTAATTAACAATAGAGTAAAATTAGTTAACGCAAGAAGTCATCGTCCGGACATCGAATGCGGTCACTTTCTCCTTCAACCTACATCCACGTGTGATACAGATTGCTTAAAACAATGAATGTTATTACTCGCACTGACTTGTAATGGCCAGCTGTGGCCTGATTCATTCATTTTTATCTATTTGTTGTAAACACAGTTGTTTAGAAGTAACATACTTTTAGTTTAGTCGTTCGATCGATAGATGGTGTGTCGCACAAATCTTGAATCGCGATATAATTTGATTCACATGGCGGCATAAATAGACTAAACAATTATTGTTAACTAGCTATTAGCAGTGGCTTCCCTTCCTTGTTTATTTCTTACTTTGAACTTTATCTCTTATTTTACCCCCCTTAGGGGTGAAATTTCCAAAAATCTTTTGTTAGTGAGTGCTTAAAACACATAAAGCATCAGCTATCAAATATTCGAGTTTTGGAACGAAGTTCCTTATCGCGCGATGTGAAAGGGGGCTAGACGGAAAAAAATCTCACGAAAAGTTGTAACGACACCTTTTATTTTTAATTGTCACTGGTCAGTCATTCAGCGCCATCTATCGAATAGATAGGAAATCATTACTTTTCATCTCAGTAAAACTAAAATTTATGTTCTTAGGTTGAGCAAAAAATATTGTATTCGACATCATTTCTCAAGGAGATTTTACCAATGTATAAATTGTTTTAATTAGAAACCAACTTAAAAATATGTAGGTAATAGCCGCTTTCATAGATGGCGTTGTAATTAAAATCGTGTCGAATCAGTTTTACTCGATCGTCACAACTTCGTTCCTATCGGGTGTCCCACGACACCACACGGTTTTTTTAGCCCCGGCGGTTTTGGCTCTCCGTTGATGAATCAGTCAGGCAGTCAAGGCAAGTAATTTTATACCTATGTATAGGTTAACCCTTTAAGGTGTGATGACGGATTAAGAATACGGAGTGTCACCACGCCTATTAATCCCGTGGGTGTCGTAAGAGCCGGCTAAGGCAGCAAACTCCGCAGAACGACAGCACTGCAAAGAGAAGTCAAACCTGACACAAACCCTGTACCAACCCGACTGGCTAGCGTGGTATAGTAGGCCAAAACCTCCTGTCTAAGGAGAGGCCTATGTCCAGCAGTGGACTGTTAAAGGCTGTTGATGATGATGATGACAAAGATGTTGATCATGAAGACTCTTTAACTGTAATTTAAATGTATTGGTTTCTATATTTGTGTAAATATATACGGTATAATGCTAGTATGCCTTTGGTGTATTTCCTTGTAGTATTTGGTATTCCAAACAAATACTAATTTTTAAAAGCTATACCAGAATAGGTAGACAGACTGGCAGTCCAGTAGGAGATCTCAGGGTAGGCTTAAGTTTAAAATTTTCGACTCTTTTGAATGTTTTGTTTTACATGACTAGTATAAATTGAACTATCATTATCTAGGCTTTTGTACTATTACATTACAAGTCAACATGTTAATTGTGCACCTGTTTTTACATAACTTTCAGTCATTAACATCATCAACAGCCTATAACAGTCCACTGCTGGCCATGGGCCTCTCCTTAGAAAGGAGGTATTGAACCCACGGGATTAATAGGGGTAGTGACACTCTATATTCTTAATTCGTCACTATACAGATTACAAGCACACAACATACACACAAGCTCACATTCATGTTTTTGAAATTACTTAGAATCACACAGAAAATTAAAAACATTACCTCTCTTTGTCCGCAGTCGGTTGAAGATATCTTAGTTATAAAATTTTAAAAAAAATATCTTGAACAATATACAAGATAATGTAACTACACAATATTATAATTAATTATTAATGGCTTTTCATATGTCTGACAAATGCTGGCCTTTTACGAGGTAACTTTCACTCATTCGCAGCTCAATTTCACTCAACACACACAAGGCGGTTTAATCAATATTTATTCAGCGTAGTCTTGTGAAAAAGGTGTAACGTTCAGAAATGTATACTGTGTTAAATCTGTCACTTATGTTTGTCTAGCTGAGGCGCGCAACTTCGCCTCAAATGTAATCAATTTTACCCGTTATTGTATCATTTTTTATCGATGCTCGGTTCCTATTGTTTTTTCATTTATTAAAAAACAACTCCCGCATTAGGAATATATCCTGTGTTGAGACTTTACAAACATACATGAATCGGATACAAAGAACACCCAGACTCAGAACGACAATTTGTGCACAAAGTGCCGTCCACAACACTATGTTTAGTAGTAAGCGGCGCCGCGGCGTGGCGACCGCTTAAACCACTACGCCATCCGTGCAGTACTCCCAGTTTGTTCCTTAATATAATAATATTACTCGTAGTTTATAAAAACTAAAAGACACGCTTTTTCATCATCATCATCATCATCATCATCAGCGCAGTCCACTGCTGGACATAGGCCTCTCCCATTGCACGCCACTTAGATCGATTTTGGGCTTCTCGCATCCAGCTCCTGGATAGAAAACTAAACTAAAAAATAATAAATTTTAATAAATTTGAAAAAAAAAACGTGGGGTGCTTTTTACTATTGACAACAGGCACCCAACGCTTTTTTTTTTAATTTGCGCATTTTTAATTATTTTTATTTTAAATTAGTGTATTGTCATCGGCCCTCGACATATCTACAAAGTTTGAACGAATTCTGACCGTTTAAA